AGGATGAAGAAGCCGCATTCATGATCTGGGCGGGAAGAGGAGAGAATGAGATGGAGCATGAGGAGCAACCAGCATACATGGCATGGCGAGGAAGGGAGGAAATGGGGTTGCGCAGCGGAGGAAAGGATGCACGGAAGGAGCAGGGGAGAAAGGAGCGGGAGAGAGGACAGAAGCCGGAGGAGCAGGAGGAAAAATGCACTGCAGCACGGCACCCCCAGGAGAGATTAGCTTGTCAGACTTCCGTGCTGCTGATCCAAGGTGGTGCGCTGTCAGTGGAAGGGGAGAAAGCTAAGACGGCTATTATAGACACTGGCGCGCAGAGCGTGATACTCGGAAAGGGGATAGCCGAAAAGCTGGGACTGTGGGCACCTGACAGGCATGTGGTGAAGGGGATGTTAGTGATGACAGCAGAAGGGGGGGAGTCGAAGTGGATGCCCTGTACGAGGACTCCAATAGAGCTGACGGTGCTGAAGGGGGAGAAGCATGAGACGCCGGTTAGAATCAGGTGCGGGATCTCAGAGTCAGAAGACTTTGACGTCCTGGTGGGCACAGAGATGATCTTTGCTTTGGGCATGACCATCTGCTTCTGGAGGGAGACAGTGGAGTTCAGAACCAGGTGGTGGAGGAAGGGTGAGCCACTGGGGCAGCTGCCGGTGCAGTTTGTCAGAACCGAGCCAAAAAGGGCCTACAGGGCAGATCTGAAGGAGGTGACAGCGAAGCAGGGGGCACAGAAGGCTGCGACAGGCAAAGGACAAGGTGAGGTGCCCAGGATGCGTTTCATGGACGAACCTAGCCAGCAGACCGATTGGCAGCAGCCCATTCGGCTGGTGGAGCTGTTCGGAGGAATCGGGGCGGGACTGGCAGCAGTGGTGAGAAATGGAATTGCAGTGAAGCAGTGGATTTACGTGGAGAAAGCACCGGAAGTGAGGAAAATGGCAGAGCATCAGGCGTGGGAGTTGCACAGAGAGTTCCCGAAGCTGCTGCAGGGAAAGGTGATCAAGGCAGCAATGAGCAGAGGAGTGAATGATGTCAGGGCCATCACGGAAGCTGAGGTAGCAAGCTGGGGGCACGTGGACCTATTGGTGGCAGGGTGGGAATGCCAAGGGGTATCATGGGCAGGGAAGGGCAAGGGTGAGCAAGACCTACGAACACAGCTGATGGAGGACCTGTTCAGAGTCATGGAGTGGGTGCAGGCTAGGCAAGGCAGAGTGGCCTACCTGCTGGAGCACTTGGATATGGAGGGAGACGTGAGAGAACCGATAAGACTAGTGAGGGAGAGAGTGACCAGACAGGTGGGAAAAGGAGTGAGCAGTGATGCGGCGCGGATGGGAGCATATGCGCACAGGCTCAGGATGTACTGGCAAAATGTGGTACCAGTAGAAGATCTGCAGAAGGAAATAGAAGGGGTGCAGAGAGCTGGGGGAAGGAAGCTGAGCGACATATTGGAGCCAGGAAGAACGCCAGCACCAGTGACCAAGAAGGGCTACAGCAGGCATTATCCCTGCAACCAGGTGGGACAGGAAAGGCAGGCACTGCCTACCCTGGTGTCATATGAGGGGGCAGCAGGCTATCAGATGGATGGGAAGCAGCCGGGCCCAGGATTGGTGTATGACCACAGAAAGGAACGGTGGGAGGAGCCCACGGCCTTGGAAAGGGAGCTGGCCATGGGGTACAAGGAGAACGCGACAGCAGCCTCGGGCGTGAGTGAGAAGGAACGGAGACGGGCATTGGGGAATGCCATGGATGGGTACATGTTGAGGTGGTTGGTGCAGCGGATGTGGAAGGAGACAGTGCTGCACTGGGGACTGAAGGAGGGAGAAAACACAGTGGCAACGGTGAGGCACGGGGTGTGGGTCTGCCTGCAGAAACAGGAGCCAGAGTGGAAGATAGGTGAGAGCATGAGCGAAGAAGGAAAGGCAGCGATGCGGGCACTGCTGGCTAGGCACCGGAAGGGCTTCGCCTTCACACTGCTGGAGTTGGGGAAGTGCAAGATCAAGGAGATGGCACTGAAATTGAGTAGTGACGAGCCGGTGTTCCACCGCAGGAGGAAGATGTCACCAGGGGATGAAGTGATCTGCAGGGAGAAAATAAAGGAGTTACTGGAAGCCGGACTGATCAGGAGGTCAGAGTCAGAATACGCTGCCCCAACCGTGGTGGCAGCCAGGAAGGACTTGACAGGCGAGGTGTTGAGTAGGAGGATGTGCGGGGACTACAGGGATCTCAACAGAATTACAGTGCCAGATAGATACCCAATGCCGATAGCGGAGGAGCTCTTTGACAAGCTGGCTGACGGGGTGTTCTTCACGACGCTGGACCTGCGACAGGGGTTCAATCAAATCAAGATCAGAGAGGAGGATGTGAAGAAAACGGCTTTCCACGGACCGGATGGGCTGTACGAGTGGCTTTACATGCCCTTCGGGCTGAGGAACGCCTCGGCGGTGTTTCAGAGAGTCATGGACGCAGTGCTGCGGGGAATAGTGCACGCGGCGTGCTATATTGATGATGTCGTGATCTTCAGCTTGAGCGAACAACAGCACCTGGAGGACGTGGAGAGGACCTTGACCGCCATAGAAGGGGCAGGGCTCACCTGCCATCCCAACAAGTGCAGGTGGGGGGAGCGGACAGTGCAGTATCTTGGGTATGAGGTCACAGGGGGGCAGATTGGCATCCAGCAAGCGAAGGTGCAAGTGCTGAGCAGGCTGAGGGAACCAAGAGACAAGTCAGGGTTGCGTGCGGAGAGAGTGGCTCAGGCAACCGAAGGAGCTAAGGGAAGAAGAACATGAGGACTAAGGCAGATGATGAGGGTAGAGCTGTATCTCCGACATTCCAAACCTCGAAAAAACCCTTAGTCGTAAACTAGTTTCAGCCAAACGGGACAGAACCCTGCTAAGCCTTCATCAGTGCTGCTTTCCAGGTTCAAGCCATGGTGGCCAGGCCAGGCACGGCTATTTCAGATGAAAAGTTTGAAAAGCAAGCCAGCAAAGGCAAGCCAGACCAGCTCCAGCCAAGACCAGGCTAGGCCAGGCCAGGTTCCAAGCCAAGATAGGTTAGGAAAGATCAGGACAAGCCTCCAAACCCAGCCAAGAAAATCCAGGCCAAACTAGGCTAGACCAGGGCATGCCACGTCCAACCAAGGCAAGCCAAGCTCAGCCATGCCATGCCAAGCCGGGCTAGGGAAGGCCAGGCCAATCCAATTTACCAAGCCAAGCAGCCAGGCCCGGTCAATCCAAGAAAGGAAAAGCCAAGCCAAGACAAGCCATGCCAAGTTAGGGTATGCTAGGCAAGTTGAAGCCACGCCTGGCTATGCCAAGGCAAGCCAAATCCCAGCCAGGCAAGGTCCGGCCAAATTCAAGGCTATTCAAGCAGAGCCGAGCAATTCTGTAAGTCCCGAGCCATCTCTGTGAAATGCAGTCGCGCATCCCTTTGGGGTCTCCAGGAAGGGGGGTCTCCACGAAGGGGGGTCTTGGAGATGATCTTTCGCCTCGTCTTCCAACAATCCAAGATCTGCCTTTTGAGTCGACTCAAAAGTCACCTTGGGGTCTCCAGGAAGGGGGGTCTCCAGGAAGGGGGGTCTCCAGGAAGGGGGGTCTCCAGGAAGGGGGGTCTCCAGGAAGGGGGGTCTTAAAGGTGATCGTTCGCCTCTTCCAAGAATCCAAGATCTGTCGCTACCATTCAAAGCCCTCGTTCTGTCGCGGTTGTTTCGAAGAGGGTTGGCCTTTGAGCACGATCCATCCGCATGGCATTTACTTGCTGCTTCTTACCAGAGACATTGTTGCCACCCCTGGTTACTGTTACTTTAGCAAGATTTCCAGCTATCATGACATAGACCAAGCCAGGCCGAACCATGTCCAACCAAGTCATTCAAGTCAGGCCACGCCATGCCAAGGTCATGCCAACCCAGGCTAGCCCAGGCTTACCCAGGCTAACCCAACCATACAGCAAATATTGGCTAAGTCAAGCCAAGCCATGCCAACCCAGGCTAGACTAGACCAAGCCATGCCATACCAGACCAGGCTAGCCAAGCCAAGCCAAGCCAAGCCAAGCGAAGCCAAGCCAAGCCAAGACAAGCCAAGCCAAGACAAGCCAAGACAAGCCATGCCATTCCATGACAAGCCAAGCCAAGCCAAGCCAAGCCAAGCCAAGCCACGGCAAGCCAGGCCTGACTAAGCCATACCGGATCAAATCAGCCAAGCTAAGCCAAGCCAAGCCAGGCCATACGTGTATAGGCGTAACCATATGTAGCCGTGCCAGTAAAGCGAGCCTAAGCTAGTCAAGCTAGTCAAGCTAGTCAAGCTAGTCAAGTCAATATAAGCCATGCCAAGCCGAGCCAATCCAAGCCATAACAAGCCAGATCAGGGTAGGCTATTCCATGCCAAACCATGTCCAGCCACACCAACCAAACCAAGCTAGTCAAGCTAGTCAAGTCAATATAAGCGAGCCAAACAAATCTGAGCCAAGCCTAGCCAAGCCAAGCCTAGACAGCGGTCATGCTAGGACAATCCAAGCCATTCCTGGTCAGGACAGGCCAGGAAAATAAAAAAGTGATGGTCCCCAATCTTCTTCCTTTGGCCCTCATCGCCCCACCCTTTGCAGAAACTTTTGAGGAACCTACACAGAGGACTTTGCTGTTGAATGCTTTTATACCTGCAGATCTGACAGGGGAACACTGGAGGGGGCTGAGGCGAGGAGAGTTGGACGGGGGGTTTGAGGAAGCTTAGGGAGGGTGTGGGCAGGTCGAGGGAACAGAGGGGGTGGATGCTTGGCTATAAGGGACGAAAGAGTAGCTATAGGGGACGGAAGAGAATTTAGAGTGGAGGAATAGAGAGAGAATTACAGATAAATCAAATGGAACAAAATCAAAATATTTTTGCGTCGACTAGTAATTGCATGTCGAGTTGGTGCTGCGTCACGTTCAATGATTCAAAGCCTACGCAACACGTATTTTAGAAAGTTTGCTGCGAATCAGTTGAAAATTTGAGATCCGGAAACATCAAATATACATGATTATTAAAACGTTAGATATTTTCCCAGTGTCTCTCCCATTGGTGCAGATAGCAGGAGGGCACTGCTACCTGCTCGGGTTGACCTGCGCCAACGAGCCTCACGGCAGGTGAGCACACATAGTAGTAATGTGAGTGATAAGCTTAGTGACGCGATAGTGTCTCTCCCAGTGGTGCATTTCGCAGGAGGCACTGCTACCTGCTCGGGTTGACCTGCGCCAACGAGCCTCACGGCAGGTCAGGCTAGTGCTCAGTTCAGTGCTGTGGTGAGCGTGAGACCAGTGGTGCAGATAGCAGGAGGACACTGTTACCTGCTCGGGTTCACTTGCGCCAAGGAGCCCCACGGCAGGTGAGGCTCGTGATACTCCCAGTGGTGTCCTGTGGTGAGATCAGTGGTGCAGATAGCAGGGGGGCGCTGGTAACTGCTGGGATTGACTTGTGCCAACGAGCCTTATGGCATTTGAGCCTAGTGATTCGCGCAGTGGTGTGATGAGCCGTGGACAGAATGGTATTGGCCATGGTACAGAACGGTGCAGATAGCAAGCAGGAGGGGCACTGCTGCTTGCTCGTGTTGACTTCTCTGCCATGTCCTGTGACCTGTCATCCATGTGTGCTCGGCTGAATGCTAGTGCTCGGTTGAATGCTAGTGCTCGGCTGAATGCTAGTGCTCGGCTGAATGCTAGTGCTCGGCTGAATGCTAGTGCAACAACATCAGCTGAATTATTGATCGAAGATGGGCTTAAAGAGAACGGTGCTTCTTAGTTGGTGTTTGGAAAATGTGTGTAGTGGTCACACTTGTATTAGGACGGAGTTTTGTGTAAGCTTCCCAATTCTCCAAGTTATTACTACGCTGCACTACAGGATGGGAAGCTGTTCGTTTCGTTGATAAGCTAGGTTATTTGTCTCCCACCAGTTTCCTTCCTTCTCTCTCTTCTCCCCTCCTTTCCTCAGGTCTGTCTGGTCCATTGGCTGTGGTCTGGGCGGCAAGCTAGGCCACGGCACAAAGTACGACGAACGCCGCCCGAAAGAGATCGCACACTTTAAAACCCTAGAGTTCACCCCCACAGCCGTTGCTGCAGGCGCATGGCATGCTGCTGCTGTTGCTGCTGACGGGAGAGTTGCCACGTGGGGGTGGGGCAGGCATGGGTGCCTGGGGCATGGGAAGGACCAGTGTGAAACGCTGCCCAGGGTTATTGAGAGCTTGTGTAAAACGGAGGAGGAGGGGGGTAGGAGTAGTGGGGTGAGTGGAAGGGGCGGTGTTGGCGTTGGTGCTAATGATGCTGCTGGTTCTGGTGGTGCTGCCTCTACCTCTGCTTCTGCTGCTTCTCCCTCTGCTGCTGCTGTTTCTCCATCTGGAGCTGGGGCGGGTTTCAGCAAGGATGACTCGCACGGTTCACGTCGCAAGCTCCGTCCGGCTGTGAAAGCATGCCACGTGGCAGCAGGGGATTACACGACGTTTGTGGTGGGGGAGGGCGGCGAGGTGTGGTCGTTTGGGAGCGCGGAGAGCGCGTGTTTGGGGCATGGGGGCGGGTGGGAGAGGGAGGAAGAGGAGGAAGGCGAAGAGATCGATGATGTTGATCTGCACGATATCGTGGTGAGTAGTGTGGTGGGTGTAGGGTCATGGGTCATGGGTCATGGCAGAAGGAGAGTACGAAGAAGACGGGGAGGTGGACGATGCGGACTTGCATGACATCGTGGTGGGTGCTTTTCTTTCTTTCTTTCTTTCTTCCTTCCTTTCCTTCTTTCTTCCTTCCTTTCCTTCTTTCTTTCCTTCTTTCTTTCTTTTATAGGAAATATGGATCCATGCTGTTTTGCATGAACGCGTTTGAAGAAGAGTTTTGAGACGTCTCAAAACCCTTCTTCAAAAATATGGATCCATGCTGTTTTGCATGAACGCGTGAACGCGTTTGAAGAAGAGTGTTGAGACGTCTCAAAACCCTTCTTAAAAAATATGGATCCGTGCTGTTTTGCATGAACGCGTTTGACCACCTCCCTGAAGTGCCTGTTTTCGCTGTTTGCCACAAACAATGGCCTCTTCTCTTCTTCCCCCCCCCCCCCCCCCCCCCCCCTCACCACACCAGCTGCGGCAGCACCGGAGGCGCAACCGGGATGTGATGCAGCCCAGGCGGATGTCTCTGAGCTGCTCATTCCCCTGCTTCTCTTACCCCTCCTGCATTCCCTCTCCCTTACACTGCCCACTTCCCCCACATTCTCCCAGCTGCGGCAGCACCGGAGGCGCAACCGGGATGTGATGCAGCCCAGGCGGGTGTCTCTGCTGGAGGAGCGAGCTACCCGCTTCTCTTACCCCTCTTGCTCTTCCCTCTCCCTTACACTGCCCACTCCCCCCACATTCTCCCAGCTGCGGCAGCACCGGAGGCGCAACCGGGATGTGATGCAGCCCAGGCGGGTGTCTCTACTGGAGGAGCGAGCTGCCCACCCCCCGGCTCCTCTTCCCACTGCCCCGGCTCCTCTTCCCACTGCCCCGGCTCCTGTTCCTGCTGCTCCTGCTGCTCCTGCCGCTCCTGCTGCTCCTGCTGCTCCTGCCGCTCCTGCCGCTCCTGCTGCTCCTGCTGCTCCTGGTGCTCCTGCTGATGCTGCTGGTGCTGATGCTGCTGATGATTCTGCAGCACTTGCGTCTACTGCCAACCTGATTGCTCTCCCTGCTGCTGCCACCCCTCTTGCTGCTGCAACTCCTACTGCTGCCCCTCGCTCAGACCCTACGCTGCTAGGCGGGGGACCTGGCAGTGCAAGGGCGGGTGTGAGAGGGGTGTTCACGTGGGGCAGTCTGCCTGCTGCTGCCACTGGGGGACGAGGAATCGACCCTGCAACGATTCCTGCTCCTGCTGTTGACGCTGCAGCTGCTGCTGCTACTGCGGCTGCTGCTGCTACTGCCACTGCTGCTGCTGCTGCTACTGCCACTGCTGCTGCTACTGCCACTGCTGCTGCTGCTACTGCCACTGCTGCTGCTACTGCTGCTGATCGATCTGGTCCTTCTGGTGCCGTCACTCCTGAAACACCGCTCTTGTCTGTGGTTACCAGTAGCTCTGGGAACGGTAGTGGCAGTTTGAGTGGTAGCGATGCGAGTGGGAGTGGCAGAAGTGATGCCATGGCTGTGAGCTTGAGTGACTGGATGAGCAGTATTGTCAGTAGTAGTGTTGGTAGCAGCAACGTTGCCAGCAGCAGCAGCAGCTCCGGCCTTAATAGCCCCGGCGGCAACAGCAGCAGCAACAACACCAACACCAACATCAGCAACAGCAATGGAAACGGCATGAGGAGCGCCGGCAATGCTACAGGCGGTAGCAGCAGCAGCAGAAGGGGTACGGTGGTGCAGATAAGTACGTCGAATGTCGACCACTTTGACGCTCACATGCTGGCGTTGACCAGTGATGGCAGGGTGCTGGCGTGTGGGGGCGGGAGTAAGGGGCAGCTGGGGGCGCCCCCTGCTGCAGGGGATACATCCTTCCCTCAGTTTGTAAAGGGGTTGGTTCTGTGAGTGGCTTGTACTGGATGAGAAGGGCTGACCTGCGATGACCGGCGTTGACCAGCGATGAGAGGGCGCTGGCATGTGTGGTTGGGAGTAAGAGGCAGCTGGGGGCGCCCCTTGCTGCAGGAAACACGTCCTTCCCCCAGTTTGTGAAAGTTCTGGTTCTATGAGGGTCTTGGGCTGACTGGGCGCTGGCGTTGACCAGCATTGACCAGCATTGACCAGCGACGGGGTTGCTGAGATGTGTTGCTGGCACTTGGTGCGGTGCTAATTCTGACCAGCATTGAGCAGAGATTTTAGGGGACAGGTGTGTGAGCGGCGGGGCACAGACAGCCACAGGAAGTTCAGGTAGAACCCCTGTGAAGAGATGGTGCGGATGGTGTGTGACATGGAAGATGAATGATAGGGAGGATGGGCGGCAGGGAGGATGGGCGGCAGGGAGGTTGGGCGGCAGGGAGGATGGGCGGCAGGGAGGATTACGTGGGGATTGGCAGGCCCTGTAGTCCTCTCCTGTGGGCAGTGGATGTAAGACTGTAAGGTGGTATGGTGTTGCGTATAAGGTGGTAAGGTGGTTCATAAAGGGTTGGGGTACAGGGTGGTGGTAAAGAGTGTGAGAGGTGAAGGTACGCAACGTTTTAGAAGGTGATGGGGACAATGGTTGGCAGGGAGGATGGGCGGCAGGGGAGGGTGGTTTTCAGAGAGTTAAGGGGTACGGGCCGGTGGGTGGTGGTAAAAACGATGGGATAGGTGGAGGTATGTAACGTTTTGTATAATTTGTGAGTTTGTACAGGAAGCACGGGGATGTGAAGAATTGAAGACTCAAGAGCAAGGAGCTCTTGAGTGAGAGTGGTGACTCATCGTTGTCTCTCTGTACTGTAGTGTGCATATTTTGGTGGTGATTGAAGATAAACAAAATATTATAGCTGATATAAGGGGGGTGCCAATGCGTGGAACGTTGAAGGGTCGAAGTTAGTAGTGGCAGGGTTATCGCCAGCATGAGAAGGCCTTCAGTAGTTGAAACAGGCGGGATTTTAACTTGTAAATCTGTATTCGGTGGTAAATGCTTTTGTGAGGTTAGGTAGACAGACCAACATGTGAGCACGTGGAGAGGGTGTCTTCAGAAACAAGGCATTGATGTGTAATACCAAAAATTGTCCGCAGGGCATAAAATTGCGATTGGGTATTCAGTCCAATGCCTGTTGTTCAATGGAACTCTTGATGTTGGTTAGCATATATGCATCGTTTTGCTACTTGTATTAGAAGCAATTTCTAATGCATAACGTACTCGATTTGGACTAGGGATATGCAGTGTAGGTGATACACCCATACTGAATTTCGGACTTCCTCGAGGAGATCGAGCCGCGATTTTGTGGGTTCGGGGCAGGTCCCGAATGTACTTCTGAATGCGGCTCAGCGCGTTATTGTACGATTTAGAGCGGTCTAGTTAATCATACAATGGAAAACGCGTTTTCCACCCCTCACCGCCAGCTACATCGAACACCTTCCGGGAAATCGAGTCGCGAAACCATTGGACATTGACATTGCGGGGAAATGCTTTCTCCCTGTGCCGAGAAGAAAAGAAAGGAAAAGAATCGTGACATTCATGAAACAAACACACGTCCCCAGCACTGCAAGTGTTTGAGCACCCATCCTCAGAGGTATAAATGACTACTCTCATCGCTTCTTATCAGCATTCCTTCCTCCCTCGGTCGTCACCCATCCTGTTCGCACCTGTTTTAAATCCCGTTTCTGATCACTCCACGTCCGCATTTAACAGTATTCATATATATCCCTGTTAATGTTTCCGCCTTGAAGAACCCCAGCCTCTCCAACAGCCCGTCTAAATGGCAAAACTCACGGGAAACGTCTCCCTGCTGCTCGTTGTCCTCTCCCTCGTCTGCCTCTCGCCTCTCCCTCTCGCATCCGCCGGTGCGCCGCTTACTAGTAAGCAACGCATTGCGCGCACGCCCCGGGCGCACGAAGAGCACCGCCGTCAGCGCCAGCTGACCGACATTGTCGGCCGTGGCGCGACCACGCGTGTGCACACGTCTGAAGATCCAAGCGCTCCAATAACATATGGAGGAGGGCCTGTGATGACCGGAAACCCGTCCATCAACGTGTACATCATCTACTACGGCAGCTGGCCGGCAGGATCGGGGCAGAAAATAATCGAGAATTTCATCAGATCGCTGAGTGCGGACTCGCGGCGGCAGGGGAGTCTCGCGGATCCCAAGGTGAAGCGCTGGTGGGCGATCAGCGCGGCTTACACGCAGGAGGAAGAGGACGGCACAAAGACGAACGTCAGCAGCAAGGTGTGTTGCACATAAACGTTGCCACTACTCCCTCCCATAACTTTGCCACAACACCCCTCCCATAAAGCGCCTCGTCTCTCTCTATCAACTTAATGAAATGCAAATTATTTTGCATTCGTTTCATTCCAGGTGCGCCTCGCCAGGACTGTCCGTGACAACTACTCGGCGGGAAAGGATTTTGGCAAAGACACGGTTTGGGAAGGTACGCAGCACGGCAAAACCATTTCGCGGCCTCTTCCAGCATTTCGCAGCATTCCACCACTCCACCTCTTCCAGCATGATGATACCTGCCGTTGAGCAACTAGGCACTGCCGTAAGCAAGTCAGGATACGTTTCTGTCACAATCTGAACTATTAAAAAGCCCTCCTCTGTTGCAGTTCTTTCCAACAAGATTGGCGCTGGAAAGCCGTTTCCGTACGACGCGAGTGGCATCTACCTGCTTCTTTCCAGCAAGGATGTCACCGTCCCGGGTTTCTGTACCGAGTATATGGGGTGGCACAGCATGGGCTACATCGATTCCGAATCGCCGGTTGTATTCTCGTTCGTGGGGCATCACGGGCAGTGCAAAGAAGAATGGATTCCGAAGCCGTCTCCCAACGGCAACCCTGCGATCGATTTCACGCTTTCAACCATTTCTCATGAGATTGCGGAAGCAGCAACGGACCCAGATGTTCAGACCGGGTGGGGCGACGAAAACGGTGAGAATGCGGACAAGTGTTACATGGACGTTGGTCAGACGAAAACGGGCAAGGACAGCCGCGGTGGAACGTACAAGTACAATCTGGTTGGGATGAACAACATGAGGTTTCTGATCCAGAGTAACTGGGACTGGCAGAAGAACAAATGTGTGACGCAGAGGAAGTACCAGTAGGGGGAGGATTTATGTGTGTCATCATGCTCGAATGAAACGTTTCCCATCTCTTTCTGAAGTCTAGATACAAGGAATACGGTCCGATGCATGGATGTACCGTGAAATATAAATCAACAGCGCTTCTTTTATGCATCATGATTAGCCAAGCAGAGCCAAGCCTAGTCGATCCAAGCCTAGGAAAAGCAAGGTTCAGCCCAACCCAAGTAAAGCTATTCCAAGCAAATTAAAGCCAAGCCAAGCCAGGTTGGAGGGCAAACCAAGCCAAGCATAGCCAAGCCATGCAAAGCCATGCCAAGCCGGGCTCGACCAGTCCAACCCAGGACAAGCCTAGCCAAGCCAAGAATCGCCAGGCCAGGACAGGCCAGACCAAGCCAGGCCTCGCCAGGCCAAGCAAAGCCAAGCATTGCCAAACATAGTCCATCCAAGCCAATCCAGGCCATGCCAAGCCATGCCAAGACAACTCCATGCATGCCAATCCAAGGCAAGCCAAGAGGATAAATCAAACAAAGCCAAGCCTTGCCAGGACAGTCAAAGCAAAGCATAAGACAAAACAAAACAGGCCAACCTACACCATACCAAGCCAAGTCAAGCCAAGCCAAGCCAAGCCAAGCCAAGCCAAGCCAAGCCAAGTCAAGCCAAGCCAAGCCAAGCCAAGCAAAGCTAGACCAAGCCAGAAATGGAAAGCAGGCCAGGCCATGTTCAACCAAGCCAACCCAAGCTTTGCCAAGCCTCTGTCAAGCCCAGCCTAGGCTATCCACGCCAGGTCAGGTCAGGCAAGTACAGGTCAAGCCCAGAGAATCCAAGCCAATTCAGGTCAGGCTAGGCAAGTCCATGCCATCCCGACCAGGCCTGGGCAAGGTAGGGTAAGCCAAGCTAGGGTAAACCAAGCTAAGCCACGTATTGGCAGTCAAGGCAAAGAGTTCCCAGTCAAGGCAGATTTTGTCTAGCCAAGGCAAGTATTGTCTAGTCAAGGCAAGTATTGTCTGGTCAAGGCAAGTATTGTCTGGTCAAGGCAAGTATAACCCAGTCAAAACAATTAAAGCCTAGTCAGGCAGATTATAGCCCAGGCTATTATAGCCTGGTCAAACAAGTGTAGCCTAGTCAGCCAAGTATAGCCTAGTCAGCCAAGTATAGCCTAGTCAAGGCAAGTATAGCCTAGTCAGCCAAGTATAGCCGAGTCAAGGCAAGTATAGCCTAGTCAAGGCAAGTATAGCCTAGTCAAGGCAAGTATAGCCTAGTCAAGGCAAGTATATGTACAGCCTAGTCAAGGCAAGTATAGCCTAGTCAGCCAAGTATAGCCTAGTCAAGGCAAGTATAGCCCAGTCAAGGCAAGTATAGCCTAGTCAAGGCAAGTATAGCCTAGTCAAGGCAAGTATAGCTTAGTCAAGGCAAGTATAGCCTAGTCAGCCAAGTATAGCCTAGTCAAGGCAGGTATAACCTACCAAGAAGGTACAGGCCAGACCATTCCATGTCCATGAAAGGCAGGTAGGTACAAACCAGGCATGCCATTGTAAGCCGTTGTAAGCCATTGTAAGCCATTTTCCGCCATGCCAGACAAGGGCAGACAAGGGAAAAACATGTAGAACCAATCTGGAATAGCGAATCCAAGCCAAGGCAATCTAAGCCATGCCAGCCCAGGCTAACCAAGCCTAACCAGGTCAATCCAAGCCATGGTGGCCAGGCCAGGCCCCGCTATTTCAGATGGAAAGATGTAAGATTTATGTCGGGAGTAGCAGCAAACTTAGAGAAAACGCTAAGAAATAGGATCAAAACGTGAGATATTGTTCCCAGGAAGTCAAGAAAATCTCAAAGCTTCCAAACCTCGAAAAAACCCTTAGTCGCAAACTAGTTTCGGCCAAACGGGACAGAACCCTGCTAAGCCTTCATCAGTGCTGCTTTCCAGGTTCAAGCCATGGTGGCCAGGCCAGGCCCGGCTATTTCAGATGAAAAGTTTGAAAAGCAAGCCAGCAAAGGCAAGCCAGACCAACTCCAGCCAAGACCAGGCTAGGCCAGGCCAGGTTAAGCCAAGCCAAGATAGGTTTGGAAAGATCAGGACAAGCCTCCAAACCCAGCCAAGAAAATCCAGGCCAAAATAGGCTAGACCAGGGCATGCCACGTCCAACCAAGGCAAGCCAAGCTCAGCCATGCCATGCCAAGCCGGGCTAGGGAAGGCCAGGCCAATCCAATTTACCAAGCCAAGCAGCCAGGCCCGGTCAATCCTAGAAAGGAAAAGCCAAGCCAAGACAAGCCATGCCAAGTTAGGGTATGCTAGGCAAGTTGAAGCCACGCCTGGCCATGCCAAGGCAAGCCAAATCCCAGC